GTCTTGGTCAAGTAGCTGTAGATTTCGTCGTAGGTCAAATCCGACTGGGCGCTCTTCATCAAGGCGACGACACCGGCGACATGGGGGCCAGCCATGGACGTACCGGCCATCTTCATGTACCCTGTCAAGTTCTTGGCGTCGGCAGAAAGCGTAAAGAAACCAGGAGCGGAAATGTCGGGCTTGATCAGAGTCACAGCTGTGCCATTCACGTGCTTGGCGACCGACGGACCCTTGGAGCTGAAAAACGCCAACTTGTTCGGCTCGTCCGTGTACGAACCAATGGCACCGACCGAGATGACACGGGTGTACCCGCCGGGGAGGCCCGTTGTCTGGCACTTGGGGCCGGCGTTGCCGTTGGAGAAAATGGGAGTGATGCCGGCCGCGCGCCAAGCCGTGACGGAGGCCTCGTAAAAGTCGTCGTAGTCGCCTTGGCTTCCCCACGAGTTGTTGATGACGTCGGCGCCGAGCTTGCATTCGGGACGGGTACCGTCCAGGCGAGTAGGGCACACCATGAATTCAGCGCACTTGGCAAGGGCAACGTCGGTCCCAGTGTTCACGTACAAGCCCATGCATGAGATCCACTGGGCGTCGGGAGCGACCCCAATGCCGTTCTTGCCCACAATCGTACCGATCGTGTGGGTGCCGTGCTGGGCCGAATCGATGGGCAATTCATAGGCGGTGCCGTTGTACGGGTTGAACCATCCCTTGTTCGAACGCCAGTTGTTCTTAATAGCTTCGTGGCGGTACTCGGCACCGGTGTCGATGGAGCCGACAACGACGCCCTTCCCAGTGAAGTACTTCCAGATCGAAGGCGCGCCGACGGTCTCAACGCCCCACTGGTTGACGCCTTCCGTCGCCGTGATCGCCTTTTCGTCGACGATGGGGGTGTCGAGATGGGTTGTGAAGCGGCCTGTAATCTTGCGCACCTTGGGGCTCTTCGCCAGTACCTCGATATCTTGCTTGGTCAGCCCGTCCATGAACGTAGCGGACGCGATCCACGAGTTGTATTCGATCCTGGCCGCCGACGCGGGCAAAAGCGACTGGATCGTCGACTCGAACGTCGATGCCTCGGCACTCAGCGCGTTGAACACTGTTTCCTTGTGGCTCGTGCCTTCCGTGAACGCGAGCTTTTCAACATTCACGTTTGTGTTGAGAAACACGATCGCGCCGACCGATTCCTTCACTTCTAACTCGCGACGGACGTGCACCGACACCTTGGCCTGCACGACGGCGGCCATAAACGACAACGCGACAGTGACTTTCATCTTGACCAGGTGAAAGTAAGTTCTCAAATGCCGTCGCTAGATCCGAGCTCGGGACCCCCTGCTGGTGTGGCCAACCCGCCTGGTCGACCAGCGCGGCAGGGCCACCATACTAATGCCAAGTCACACGCCCGACCAGGCTCTCGGCCGCAGGGCGGCAGTTGGTGCGAGTCACAGCCACCTGGGTGTTCCTGGTCCCATCTACAGTTCGTACATTGTACGTTTTAAATGTACCTTGCATACAAGACTCTTGTGTGCGCTGACATTTGCCACGTACGTTCACCGTCTCACCTTGTGCTCCTTGAAGTAATCTGAGTATATTGGAGCCACGCACATGGGGGGGGTGACGATCTTGGAGAAGGCGGTCACAGCGGGTTTGTATGGCCGCCTGGGAGGTGGAGCGGGGCTAGGCGAGCGATAGATGGAGCAGTTGTTAGCACCGGGGTGGTCTTGGGGTGGTCGTGCTGGCATGCTGCGGGTGGAGCTTGCAGCTCCAAGCAGATCGGGTGCGGGTCACCTATCAGGGGGACATGTTGTGCCATGGATTGTAGCGCGGCCGATGGCGCACGTCGAAGGGGCCTCACCACAAGAGGGCCTGACGTAGCGGTGGACGCCACGTCTTGTGCACACTTCGTTGGGCACCATCGACGAGTCCGAACGTGAAAACACTGGAAACCTTTTGAATTCCACTGTAACTACTCCTCTTGCGGACCGTGGGAAAGAGCAATGGTACACCGTCGATCGTGGGCCGTTTATAAGTCCCACACGTGCTGGAATAGCGTCGCGTTCGATTTGGTTGCCGATTTGCATGTGCCGCCGTCCCGTAGTTCAAGAAGACGTAGACAGGCTCAACATTGTCAATGCGCTGAGGCCGTTGTCGTCGGAAGATAAGCCAAGGGACTTGATTGAGTTGTTGGAAGCGGCCAGATGCACAGAGGTAAATGCTTGTTGGGGTCCCTGGGCTGCCACGGCCCACTTCAAAAGCCACCGCGACAGGAATTTACAACCACAACTGTTCGTACTTTTCGGATACGTACTTAAGCCACAACAGCGGAATCATTCGTGAAAGTGCGATTCACGGCCGTCTGGGCGATGGATGTAGCGCCAGATGGTGAGAAAATGAATGGACGGTCACGTACGGTAGGGGGTCGCTCGTCGTGCTGGCGCTCTCTACAGGGCATGGCCTCCGATTCAGCTAGGGACATTCTCTGGTTTTAAACGTATGTCCAAACAAGTTGCAATTCAGCGACCATGATAATAATGAAAACAATGGTGCCCCTTACGATTATCAAGTGAAAATATATTAAGTGCGTGTGCGCACCTTGACGAGTTGCATCCATATCATTCAGAACCACCCACCCATCCAAATCAACGGTCGTGATTGCGCAATCCGCAATCATCCAACGGATTATCTCACGGTCGACTAGAGAATGTATGTTTTCACTTGACGAAAGCCCCCTCCGAATCGAACATTTGCAAGTTTTGCATGTTGGTGCCATATTGCGATGCCTGTCGCCCTGGTTCGATATTCAGAATCCGGTTAAGTCAGATTCGTCAACGGCACCCATCTAACCGAAGCAGCGTTCGTAATGTGTACCTCGGTGTAATCGCTGGGTCAGGATGGAAGCAAGCGCCACGCCGTCAAGAGCTTGAAAGGATGGGCGCAACCTTGCTGGTGTTGCGCCGAGACGCGGGGAGGCTGTGGGCCAAACTTTGGATCACACCTGACGGATGCTCTATGTTGGACGCAGCTGGTAGGGGATGCCCCAGGCGCCACACGTCGCCGATTCGAGCAATTGGACTAATGCGCCTTTTCTTTTTCACCGGATCGTCCTCGTTGGAATGGGAATGGAATGTGGCGCGGACCAAAATGATGTGTCGCGCATTTCCATATTTGAACGATTACACGAACGGTGTAGAAGGTCAGCCCCCCTGGCACGACGCAAGCACCGTTCGCACCAACAGAGCAACGAATCGGCGCTAGGCGTCGGCATGGCGGGGGAATTAGGGGGCAGGGACCAGGTGGAGGCCCTCGTCGTCTGAGGAATTCTGCCATCCATTAGAGTACGCAGATTCAAGTTTGCCGAAGCAATCGCTTGGCTCGAGTGTAGAGAGAGGGCTGTCGCTTTGCTCAAATTTGACCACATGATCAACTTTCAGTGCATCCTGCTCTCATGACGCTGCCCACGTGCCTCAGGCATCGGCCTCAACAACACTCGTTGTCGACTGATTGCCTGTGCTTTCACGGCAGAGGGGCGAGGCGACGGTGGTAGTCCTCTCTCGAAAGCAAGGGGGCTACTGCAAATCGCTCGGGATAACCACACACCGTCATATTCCATGGAGATGCGCACCCTACGGGGAGACATGAAGTTCGTAGCAACATGCATGGACGGTGCATTCAGAGCAGAACACATCGAGGAGACTGTGGCGGCGTGCTGACAAAGGTTGGATAACGGTTTGAACGCCAGAATTCCACGGGATTGTGTGGAAAAATAGGGCAGTGACGTCGGTGCTGACGGCGAGCCCCAGCTGCGCATGGAGTGTGCGAGTGGGTAGCATCGATTGGGGGCGAGCTGCCCAACATGGATGCCTATACACGAAAGTCACCCCTTCTTCTCTGGACTGATCCACGTGGCGCATTCATATTCCGCATGGAAGCAAGCCCTGATACGTAAAACGTTAGCGAAGCGAAGAGGTACGCGGGCATCGGACTTCCCCTTCGATCTGTGGATGTAGTTTGAAAAATGCGTCCAACAAAGGAGCTATCGTCGAGTCGTGGAAAAGGACGTGATCGAATGAAGTCGACGACGTAGCTGCGCACTCGTAAGCTGCCTGGAAAGACCGTGTGGTCAAACGATCGGTACTTGATTCGAGTCACGAGCGCAATGACGGCTCCGAGTTGGGACAGTTCCAACGCCATTGAACTCCATCACGCGTTTCCGTCTCGACTTGAGTTCATGCTTCCATCAAGAGGCATCATTGCCCGAGAATACTCGCGCATGAGGGGCGTCACTCTGCACGGGGACGTTGCCGTGTGTTCGAACGTGCACACTGGCGACGCTGCGACCTTCTCCCTCGGTGTGGTGCTTTCCGACATGCCCGCTAGTCTCGACCTACTGGGGCACAACCTCGAGCAGCTCCAGCCCACCTTTGGGCTTGTTTACCGAAACAACCGCGCCACTTGGGCCTCAACACCTTTATTCAATCTGTGGTCTGGCAGTCAAGTGTTCTTGCCGGCCTTCCTCATCGCGACCAGTCCATGGACCCCCTCGTCCATGAGAATATCTTGTACAACTGGGCTGCGCGTCTCCATCCCTGGCACCCCGTCGCAACGGTTGCATCCCCGCCTTCAACGATTTCCCTTACCCACATACACACCGCCATCACCTCCAAACCCGCGTGCCGTTCCTTCGCCCATTGCGGTCCATCGAGTCGCGGATAGAAGAATTGGCGATGGAAGCACATGTACGATTGACACCAGCTGCCCCCAGCCACAACAGTATGAAGCCTGATCTCCTGGTGCATGATCGCACTTCGCGTTTCGAGCCTGGTCACCGTTGTTGGGGCCAAGTTACCCCGGCACGTCATACCTCCTGCCACCACCGCCGTCACACTCCTTGTCCATGGCAAAGTCCAACAAAAACACCGACTGGGGTTTTACAACGCTTACAGCTTGACACCTTCGAAGCCCCACACCTCGACGGCCCAGCACTGAAACTGATGGGGATGCGTCAGCGCCGGGTTGTCATACGTTTCGCAAGCCTGCGTGAATCCCCTTGCTTCGTCGATCTGGAGGCAAAGCGCGAGCCCGGACGCGCCGCCCCCCCACACGAGCGACCCATTTGGTCCCCCGTACACAAAATTGTTGTCAAGGCCAGACCATCCGTACACGGACGCGTGTTGAAACACAAACGCTCGGCCGTTCCCGTACACCTTTTTTGAATGCTTGAGCGACGACGGCGTGAATGCTACGTAGCAGACAACGTCAATCCTTTTGGGTCCCATGGCCAAGCAACGGTCGGTCCATTGGAACGAGTGCCACCACCACAACACCACACAACAACAGCAGCCCGCCCCCCCAGGAGAAACACAAAATCACACAGCCATCGAACACCGCGCAAGCCAAGTCATTCTCTGTCGCCACAGCCTCGCACGACGTTTTTGCCTCGTGTGAGGAGCAAGTGCCATCTCTCGTCCCGATACAATTTCCGCCGCAGGTTGCCCATCGAGCTCTCTCCAATTTTTCAGGAAACGCGTCCTGGCTCGTACCTCCAAACACTTGGTCTGTCGAGTCCTTGATGGCGACGATGGTCGGGCCTCGATCTTGGACGAGGTGGTAAAACATGGTCGAGTTGAATCCGTGCTCTTGAGAACTGTACAGGAGAGTCCAGTTGTGGCACTGCAAGTGCAGCGGCAGGGCAGCCGTTAGCACGTGCACGTGGTTGCACTTGAGGATGACAGACGATTGAAAGTACGAGAGCCACTTGTTCTGTTTCAGCTTGGCATGGACGGTGTGCCACTCGTCTTTTTGGATCGGCGACGACGCCATGTCGCTTGCGGGCGGCGACCCAACAACGACATCGTGGTCTTTGTATTCTTTTGAAGGAGGAAACATTGCCCGGCTCGTCGATGTGGACGCCAGCGGCGGCGGAGACGCTTTCGCACCCATCTGACGAACATATCGAACGTTCAACGCCGGAGTACGGAACGTCATGGTGAATGGAAGCGCGGACCCCTGGACGCACCATTTTATCGCGAGTGTCGTGATCGGGCCATACCTGCAACTCCGACATGAGCTCTGCCAAAGTCCACGACGCTGCCTCTGGGCGACCGTTCACTGCAATGAGCACATCTCCGGGCACGAGCGAATCGATGGTTGATTCAGCTGAAGTTGAGTTGGATGGTGTAGAAGGCGAGGAAGACTCTGCGAGATCGCCGACGGAATGGACTTCAAGGCTGCCATAGCTCCGCGTACTGGCGGCAAACGTGACGCCCACGGGCAATGCGTGAATGGTCAAGGTGATGTCCCCCGCAGCATCGCGCCCTACATGTATTATTTGCGCGATAATCGCGGGAGATGATGGAAGGATTTGGAGCTGTACCGAGCGGCAATGCAGCTGCTTCCACGTCGCGCGCAACGGACTAACGAGATGGGCCAGTGCGTGAGGGATTCGGCAACCAAAAATTGCGTACCTGCTTCCATTGAGCGGCGGTAGCACGAACATGCCTTGTGGATGCGCGAGTGAACTGGTTGTACTCGAAACTTTGAGGAAAGAGTGCTGTCGCAGTCGTGTGCGAGTCGCAGTGGCCGTGCAGCTTTGGTTTTCGAAACGTGATTGACACAGGTACCGCGAGTTTTGACATGTACGCACGGAACGCAAGTGAGTCCATAGCATTCACCGACTCGTCGCCATTCACAGCCATCAAGACGTCGCCAATCTCAAGCGACGGGTGGTCGTCAGGGGCGTGACCGACTTCCCACGCACCATAGAGCTGCGTCGATGGAACGAGCCCAATGCCAAGAGGTTTCTTCTCAAACGTGAGTGTGATTTCTGATTGAACATCCTTCACATGATGATGCTTGGACCGAGGCGCCGCCGCACGAGTCTGCTTGGACGTTGCCATGCACCTTGCCGCAAGTTTTGCGATATTCGTGACAAAAGATACACCCTTTGCAGCTGCCAAAACCCGCGTCCGATTCTGGCGGTCAAATGACTGAACATTTGTATGATGCATACGTGAAGCGACAAAAACAAGAGTCCACACTATTAAAGAAAACCGAAATAGTGTGACTGAGTCGCTCAGTTTGGAATTTGCAACGTCCAGCACACATGGATATGCTGCGGGTGCCATCGAACGCGTGAGCTCGTGGTAAGGGCACGCAGAGGCTGCAACGGCGTGTGCGTGTGGCCATCGGCACAGATTGCCTGCGCACGGTTTGCTCCTGTTTGGCTATTTTTGGGCACCGTACGTAGCCATTCGTCCCTGCTCATTCCCCAGCACTCTGCATTGAAGCGAAGCGCACACACAGGTCACGGGGAGGCAAGCACGGGTTGCAGTACGTTGTCGAGGTCCACACTAGAGACCTCTCCAGTGAGGGTGCGCGCAGTCAACGCGGTACGTGCGATGGTGCACGATGCGCAGGTACCTGGAGGAGGAGGTGTACAGTCTCGAACAATGCTACCACGGCACCGCACCACCACATACGATCCAATCGTCGGCATCGTGTGAGCCGACGGCGCGGGCGATCGCTGGCGACATGTGCGCTGCGTTCCACGGCAAGTTCCAAGCTTGGCACACGACTTGCGGTCAAGTGCGTGAACTAAAAGCGCGTTTATATCCATTGTTAAAACGTACACAGTGTATTATTCGGTGGACAGGCACGGTCGACGAATCATGGCGGCAAGTGCTTGCTATCCACCGCGGGAACAACGTCGCTGCAAGAGCGGCGATTCGAATGCGCATCGTGTGGATGCGTTCCATGTACGCTTGGTTCGAGGGGACGACAGCGGTAGAGTCGTTTAACGCACGATCGCGCGTTAAAGTCCGCGTCACGGTTTCTGCAACTCCGTCTCTTTCCATTCGGATTTAACGGGAACATACACCAACCCAGGCGGGGGTGTATGTCGTACTTAATGGACCAATTTCGTCGTCACTTGAAATTTGTATGGTGGCGTGCGGTGGAGTTACTCACTCCCGCCCCTGAGCCGCCCACAACTGGCCCCTCGACAGCAGCCGACAGCAACATTCGTCCGCACGAGCGCAAGTGATCATGGCCGAGTCCATGAAGTCGCAATACCTCCGCAAGCTCGAGGACGGCGGTTCCAACACGCTGAATATTGTCCTTGGCACAGCGACGGGTGTGATTATCCTCGTGATCTTGGGCCTATGCTGCCATTCCAAGCGCAAATCCAAGCAACGCCGCGAAGCGAGGCGGTTGCGCCGTGAACGGCAAGGTATTGCAGCGTCCGGTATTCCCAAGGACAGCGACGTGTACATGGAAGCGGACAACCGCACGATCAACCTGCCCATGATGGGCCATCAACACAATCATGGAAAACAACGCGACGAACAAGACATTTACATCATGCGCAACAGCGAAGACGTCGACTACCATGGGAACCATGCGTACCAAAATATTTCAAACCCCGCCAAAATGTCCGCCCCCTTGCCGTTCAAGATGGACGCGACCCTACTGAAGGCCAAGGTGGACTACACCGACATCCAGTACACGCGGAAATTGAGCAAGGGAGCGTTTGGCGAAGTCTGGCTCGGTCAGTTTCAAGGGAATTACGTCGCAATCAAGCAGATCCTCGAGGAGCGCAAGACAGACGCCAAGGAGATCGAGTGCTTCGTCGCCGAGATCAAGCTCATGGCGACTTTCCAGCACCCGAACATCGTGGACTTTCTCGGGTTCTCGTGGAACCCCAAGGACGCCAACTTGTGTGCCATGACCGAGTACATGAAGAACGGCGACTTGTTTGGTACGTTTTCTCTCGGCTTGTTTTGTGTCTTTTATTGCGACGTTTGTCTCGGAATGTTGTTTGGTTGTTCTTTTTTCGATTTTGACAGTCTTTTAGTGTTCCTGCAGAAGCGAAAAGCAACATTGACGTGGCAGCACGACAAGCTTCAAATTGCAATCGACATTGCTCAAGCTCTGGTGTATCTCCACTCGCTCAGCCCCAAGGTCATCCACCGCGACCTCAAATCCAAGAACGTGCTGTTGGACGATCGTTGCACGGCAAAGTTGAGCGACTTTGGCATTTCCCGTCTGCGTCAGCTCGAAGAAACGATGACTGCAGGTGTCGGGACGGCTCTGTGGGCCGCGCCCGAGGTGTTCTTGGCCAAGAAGTACAACGATCGTGCCGATGTGTACTCTCTGGGTGTCGTGCTGTCGGAACTCGACACGTGCGCGATCCCGTATGCCGACCAAGCCGTTGGAAAGAATGGAAAGCTGGACGGGATGGCCGTGGTGAAGCTTGTGACGCAGCAAAAAGCCAAGCCAACGTTCTCCGAGTCGTGCCCGCAAGCAGTCCGCGCATTGGCGTTCCAGTGTCTCGACTACGAGCCGGACAACCGTCCGTCTGCCGCCGAAGTCGTCGAGATCCTAAAGAACCGCGTCCGGCCAGCATTAGAGCGTACCTCTTATTAGTACTTTATCCAACATCTCGTCCAAGGATTCCATCCTGCTTGCCACGGCGGCCACGGCGCCGACGTCACTTTGGCCGGATCGCCGGACAATTACGTGTGCCATTCGTCACGATATGCATTACCCAATGACATCTCGACAAATGCCTGCTGTTGTCGAATCAAAAAAATAATAGGAAAAATTCCTTGGGAGAGCGAAAAAAACGGACCAATCAAACGAGAGACCATGTCACTAGAGCGACTTGGTGTTGGTTGTATCGTGGACAAGTGCGTTGGACGTGCGCGGCATGGCTGCATGAAAACGATGAGTAGCAGATTGTAGCAATCGTTTTGGTCGTGCGAAGAGATTTTGGTACATTATAATTTTTGACATTTTTCGTATGTGAATATGAAGTCAATAATTTTTCTCAAAACATGCGAATGGGAAGAACGAGCGCGTTCGATCGTTCGCAGCGCCGCCGTTGGGTGATGGGGACCACTTCTCCGAGCGAAAAGGAAAGCCAGCAATCATTAACCCAAGCTCTCGGATGGACGCGTGCTTGAGGCCCTTGGAATACACACACGTGGGTATTCCCTGTTCAACCTCGTTCACCAGACAGTCCCGTGATGCGAATATGTGGTCGTCATTCCACGTCGTGATTGTAGGATCCCAAGGCCGCTTGCCTTTTCTTTTAAGCGTTGGTTGGAAGCGTCCATGGTAGGGTGGAAGGCTATCGCGTCACACAGGCAGAGAGTTGCGGGTCGTGTTGGCAGCTGTCGATCGCAAGTGTGGCGTCGCCGTCGTTGCACATGGCATGGTTTTGACAAATTCGACCGCGATTTTCGACAGTTTGATGAAAAATCGGGGCAATTTTTGCAAATGTGCGATCGAAACCCCCCTCTGATTGGTTCAATTTCACATGAAGAGACGGTCCGGGCTTGCAAAGACCGTGACATGGCCGGCTCGACCCACCACCCGCGTCACGACATGGACGCATTCCACGAAATCCTCATCGATCGGCATGGCCATACGACTCCGACAACTCGATGGAGGTAGCAACTTCGCTCTCAACATCGCGCTTGTCTCGGTGATCGGGGTCATCGCGGTTGTCATCTTGGTCCTGTACTGCCGGTCTCGACGACCACGACCGACCGGCGGTCGCCGGAAAGGCGACGTGCCCCCAAACTACATGGATGCCGACCGCACCATCAACTTGCCGCTCCACCATCGACCAGCACCATCTCTTGCAATGCCTCGTGGTGAAAGCGACATTTACATCATGCGTAGCAGCGACGGCGGCACCGAATACGAACCCCAAAGTCGCTCCAAACAGAACGCGTTCTTGCCGTTCCGTCTCGACCCTGCGCTTCTCCGAGCCAAGGTGGACTACGCCGACATTCACTACACGCGGAAATTGAGCAAGGGAGCGTTTGGCGAGGTCTGGCTCGGCCAGTGTCAAGGGAATTACGTCGCAATCAAGCAGATCTTGGAAGAGCGCAAGAATGACGCCAAGGAGATCGAGTGCTTTGTCGCCGAGATCAAGCTCATGGCGATCTTCCATCATCCGAATATCGTAGACTTTCGAGGGTTTTCTTGGAACCCCACGGACGGCAACATGTGCGCGCTGACCGAGTACATGAAGCACGGCGACTTGTTTGGTCCGTCTTTCTCGTCTTGACTTCTTTGGATCTCACCGTTCTCTTGACATTGGTAGTGTACCTTCAGCGCAACAAAGCGTCGCTGGCATGGAAGCATGAAAAGGTCGGGATTGCAATCGACATTGCTCAAGCTCTGGTGTATCTCCACTCGCTCAACCCCAAGGTCATCCACCGCGACCTCAAATCCAAGAACGTGTTGCTTGATGACAACTTTACGGCAAAGTTGAGCGACTTTGGCATTTCCCGTCTGCGTCAGCTCGAAGAAACGATGACTGCAGGTGTCGGGACGGCTCTGTGGGCCGCGCCAGAGGTGTTCCTGGCCAAGAAGTACAACGATCGTGCCGATGTGTACTCTCTGGGCGTCGTGCTGTCGGAACTCGACACGTGCGCGATCCCGTATGCCGACCAAGCCGTTGGAAAGAATGGAAAGCTGGACGGGATGGCCGTGGTGAAGCTTGTGACGCAGCAACAAGCCAAGCCATCGTTCTCCCCGTCGTGCCCGGAAGAAGTTCGTGCGTTGGCGTACCGCTGTCTCGACTACGAGCCGGACAACCGTCCGTCTGCCGCCGAAGTCGTCGAGATCCTGAAGAATCACGTGCGGCCGGCGCTCGACCGGCCGTCGTTTTGAGTGTTGTTGTAAAACCTATTTAACCTCTTACGTTTAAACTATAGTGCATTCGATCAGAAATCCGGAGATTCAATCTCACGCCAAAACGTGTCCGGATATCATTGTGCCGAGTCCTGTCGCATCCGGGAAATTGGAGGTGTCATGTGAGCTTTGCTTTGATGGATGACGAGCTGTCGACATTGCACAGCGACTCTGCGAGTTGTGGATTACAGCATCGCTGTGGGGTTATGCCGGGTCATCAAGTTTGCGCAGAACCAGGACGAGCGTGCGAGCGATCAGGCCCACTAGGGTTGTTTCCATGAACAACTGGAACGCCGCCTGGGTTAATCTTGCCATCAGGTCGTTCGATGAAGTCACCGCAGCATCTCTCAAATTGTCGCCAACAAGACGTGCTTGGCATTCTATCAAGATGGACATCTCGATAGAGTCCAGGACGTGGGCAAGATGGTTCGACACACCGGCGACGTAATGTTGGCGCGCTTTCGCGCGGGGGTCAAGTGGTTGGGGTCGAGCACACAAGTGGAAGGGGGGGGCGATTCGTGCAGCCACGTCGCCCGCCCCTTCGACGACCAACGACGACGCCGTCCGTTGCTCGCTCGTGGCGCTGCTTCGTCCTCCGACCAACCGACAGTTCCAATCTGAACGCGGTCGGCATCGTGCCACTGTGCAGGGCTCGCCGCCGGCTTTCACGTAAAACGCAACACGTTTAAACAAGTTTGGCCGCCTGTCTTTTTGGCGGTCATCCCTCCGTGCATTCTTAAAAAATTGCGTCGGGTTGCGGTGGCATTAAAATTCCAGCACATGTCGTCCGTCCCGAGTCAGCTGCAATTACAAACGGCAGAGAGGGGCTCGCTTGGGTCGCTGCCGCCCGACTGTCCATTCCTCACGTGGTCTGGCGCAACAAACACACGATGGCGACAGCTCTTGCACAGCAGCGCCTGCGCCGCCGCCTCGATGGAGACGACAACATGCTGAACATTGGCCTCGGTATTGCGATCGGCTTGATTGTGCTCGTCGTGGTCGCGTTCTGGCTGTACCAGCGACACAAGAACAAACGGCGACTAGAGGAACGCCACGCGCGACGAGCGGCTAACCAGCGAGGAAACATGCGCCAAGGCGGAGACGAAGAAGTCGACCAGCGCACGATCAATTTTAACGGACGACAGGCACCTCCGTCGCACCACAACAACGCGGCCGCGAAACACGGCCGCCCGCCATCGCACGGCGACAACTACGTCCTCGAGGACGACGAGTACCGTCATGTGAACAACAAGAAGTCTGCAGCAAAGCAAGGTATTCGACCTCCATCGCCGACTCGTCTTGACACGACATCGAGTAGCGCTGTTCCAAATGGACCAAGACATGCTCGATGCCAAGCTCGACTTCAATGCGATCCAGTACACGCGCAAGCTGACCAAGGGCGCGTTCGGAGAAGTCTGGCTCGGCCAGTACTGTGGAAAGTACGTTGCGCGATCGCGCACGACGACTGACGGGATCATGTCCAGGTATGTCGCAATCAAGCAAATCTTGGAAGAGCGCAAGAACGACGCCAAGGAAATCGAGTGCTTTGTCGCTGAGATCAAGCTCATGCTGAATCTCAAGCACCCCAACATTTTGGACTTTTTGGGATTCTCGTGGAACCCCAAGGACCACAACTTGTGCTTTCTGACCGAGTACATGAAGAACGGCGACTTGTTTTACTACCTCCAAAAGCGCAAGACGGTCTTGTCGTGGAAGCGCGAGAAGATTCAGCTCGCGCTCGACATTGCGCAGGGCCTTGTCTACCTCCACTCGCTCACGCCCAAGATCATCCATCGCGACCTCAAGTCCAAGAACGTCCTGCTCGATGAAAAGTTTACGGCGAAAATCAACGACTTTGGCATTTCTCGGTACTTGGCCCATCTCACACACCGGCGACTCGACCCTCATCTTTGTGATGTAGCGTCCGGCAGTTTGAAGAAACCATGACGGCCGGCGTCGGCACGGCGTTGTGGGCCGCGCCCGAGGTCTTTATGGCGAAAAAGTACAACGACCGCGCCGACGTGTACTCGCTCGGCGTGGTCTTGTCGGAACTCGACACATGCGCGATTCCGTTTGCGGACCAAGCGATCGGCAAGAACGGCAAGTTGGACGGCATGGCCGTGATCAAACTCGTGACCCAGAAGCGCGCCAAGCCCACATTCAGTCCGCAGTGCCCGCCGCCCGTCCTCGACCTCGCCATGCGCTGCCTCGACTACGAGCCCGAGAACCGGCCGTCCGCCGCCGACGTCGTCGAGTTGATTCAACACCAGATCAAGCCCGCGTTGGAAGCGTACTAACGCCGCCACCGTCTCGACAGTCACCCCCACGTTTTCGTTGTATTGGTATAACCGTGCAAACACCCCCAGTCCCCGCTTCCATCTCCTCCCACCACCAGCATCGTTGCGACAGCGCTTTGCGTCGGCAAAGACCAATGTAGCTCACGAACGGCGACGCCGGGCGTCCCAGTGCCTTGCTTGCGCCTGGAGCCAAGACTCACATGGCGCATGCTCTCGTTCACGTGTGGCTCTCTCTTCCAGGAGGTTGCTGGTCGAGATCGTCGAAGGTCCCGCCCGATCTATAGGCCGGGAACCAGATACAGCCACATGAAGGATCCGCCCCAGCGGTAACTATAGAAGGCTCGACACGGCTATCTCGGTGGGTCTGGCGAGCTCAGCTACACACAGCCGTCGTTGGCGGGACACGGTCGGGGGAGGGCGTCCTGCCTTCGAAACCGGACCATTCATGGAGTATGCGGGTCGGTAGCACCGTCGGCAGTGCCTGCGGTGGCCGGTGTCGGCAATCGTTGCCCACACAGCCCGACATGGGCTGCGACCAGTCGATGTCGGCAAATTGCATAGACCACCGCCGAACATCGCCCAGGATGGCGATGCCCCTTGACGCTCCACTCCATCGTTGCACCGCGGATCGTGCACCCCAGTACACGCCCCCCGCGTTCAACCACTTTCGGTCGTCGAGTTAGCGGTCCGTCCAAAGGAAGCATCTTCGCTCAAGCATGGACGAGCCCATGACGAAGGAGCGACGAGCACACCATCGGAGATCTCTCGGGCTTCACACGTGCCTGCTTCGTGCAGTTGGACAGAGTCGACCCTGCTGCATCCTGCCTGCACAACGCCTACTTGTCGCTGCTCTCGACGTTCGCTTCACGACCAAACGAGTGGGTGCCCCAAAGTCCCTGCGTGGCGTTTTCCCCACGTCACACAAACGCATCCTGGCCGCACGTTCGCGACCGTGGCGATGCCATCGTCGTTCGTGTGGCGGTGGCACGTGGGTCGATTGGTACCAGCAAACCCCACGGAGTTCCCCCCGCCTGCCGGTCGCTTTGGACCGAACGTGCTACGGACACGCACGGCATCCGCTGGAAGGACGAACACGTCGCAGATTCTCGGCGTGAAGCGCGTCGAATGGTAGAGGCGTACGCATGGAGGGAGCACGAAGAACAGATAGGAAGAGGAGGTTGTTGCCCACTCTTGGACCTCGCGCGATGGGTGCTGGGCGGGTTGGAGGGTCGGGCGCTTCTCCTGGCGACGCATGAACGCATTCAAACGGTAAAAAGTGCGTCGCCGACTCTTGCATCGATCTTCGAGACGCACCTCAACTGAATCGAGTGGGCGACTCGCCCCCCCGGCGACCTCGCCGGTCCAGGGGATTCCATCGAGTCACACCCACCACGACGCATATGTTCCTTGGAAGCGCTGGAGTCACACGGGTGACAACTAGGTCAACCAAACACTGCCTCTGTCCTTGTCTCGACGGAGAAAGGGGCCGGAGACGTGGTCAGAGCGTGGGGACGGCCATGGCGTTGGTGTGTCTATCGGCAGCCCCCCCCCCACCACTCCCCACCTCGCTAAGCGCTTGTTGCCCTGGATCGCGCTTGCTTCCACAGAGTTGATGAATCCAGGGCGGCCAAGAGCGAGGCTTGGACTGATTCGGCGCGTGCATCTAGTTAGCATTGCTTGACATGCCTCCCGACAACGCATCGCGTCGACTCTATCGCACCCAATGGCGTCGTGATACTGCACACAACTGCCGTCCGTAACGTTTGGCAGGCCTCTTGCGCCGCTCGGCTGCAAGTTGTGCAGTGTTGGATGGCTTCTGGCCCTAGTGACGTCGACACCAGGGGAACGCGTGGTTCGTCTGCCGCGTCCAAGTGGTGGGCTGTCCGCATTCACGCGCAGGTCTTCCGCCGCCTTCGTCGAGTTGCTCGTCGATTCGAGGCACCCGTTCGACGTCGAGTCACCTCGCCACCATCGCACACACACATCTGTCCACAAACCATGGCATTGTTGCTTTTCCTGCCACGGTTGCCGAGAAGGCGGCTGCGCATGGATCGGGCGGCGCGGTGGACGCCGCCGAGAACGATAGCGATTGGATTTCCGCCGCCCATGTCGTCCCAAGTTACCCCCGACGTAGTCTCCAACGACCTCTCGACATGTTCACGAGCTCCCGTGCTCTGTGCCTCCTGGCGCGACTTGGATTGTTTGTGCATCCTCGTGGGTCGATCGATGCACGAACACCTTCGCCGCCCCGACCGTCATCCAATGGTCGCACCGACGTACATGACACCAACGCGTCCTTCGGGACGTCCTGTTGTTGTACCTGCAGAACCCGACGACAATGCAAAAGGACCACGCGCTTGCTGTCACGCCCACCGCGAGAATACAGACGCCGCGTGCCACTCTCGACATGCGGGCGGGACGACAGTGGTGCTGTAGGATGTGCTGCACGAGAATGCCGCGAGGCATTCCTCCACTGTACATGGCCCTGTACTCAACGTGGCCTCGATCGGTGCCAGCGAACACTGTCCGTGCCGTCGCAGGCCTCCTCTGACAACACGTTCGTGCATGCATGCATACAGGACGGCATCGCGCCAGCCGCTAGGCAAACTGGCCTCGAGCGGCGTGCCGACGACGATGATGGCAGAAACGTTTTTGACCAATGTCTTGAAATTGCTATACAATTTTATAAACATGGTCAGCGACACCGCAGTCGTCCCACTCTTTCCACACATCCCGGATAATCGGCCCCAAGGTGTCGTATCCGGAAGATCGATACAAACGCCAAGTGAAAGCGAGATATCCGGATACGGAGAAGCGCCGCGGGAGCTGTCGTCAACGTCGCACGGTGGGACCGGATGCTGGCGTCGTGGCTCTGGTCGCGGCTTGCGCAGCGCAGGTCCACTTTCCGATTCACCGCGCAGACACCCGATCGACATGGTTGTGTACTACGCTAAGAAGCACTCGCTCCTTCATATGCTGAAGCTCCAAGCATCGTCCTACGTGGCCATGGATGTCCAAGCAGCGTCGATTGCGTTCCTGAATGACCACACCGTGTACGGCATGGACCAGATCTTGGACGCTACGTGGTCCACGCACCGCACTGTGACGATGCGCCTCGCCACCCGTGATGGCCAAGTGACCAAGCAAAAGTTCCTCTTCGACTGCCAAGCAGACCTCTTCTTTTTCCTCGTCGAGCTCGGCATGGAACCGAGTCAGTTTGGCGGGACCGTGCAACGAGGATCATTTAAACGACGTTCCATTTGCAACCCGATCGCAGAGAAAGGGTTTCGCAAGAGCTACACGTCACGAACACCCACACGATGCTCCCGCAAAAGCGCCGCCAAGAGCGATTTTTATTGACGCCAAGCCCGATTTGACCATGCTATTTAGACGTATTTAAGCTCAGAATGGTACTGCGCGTGACGCAACCTCCACGAACACCATGGTGCTCGAACGACTCTTTCATCGATCCTCCCCCCACGGGTGAACTGCCGTAAAACCTCGAAGTGGCCTCGAAGCAATTTGCCTCGAGGACGTGGGGGAGACATCCAAGAGCTAGCTCCAAGCACAGGAATCTCCAGACTTGATCCACTTACCAAATACACAGTGTACAAAGCAGATTGTGAGCCCCATCACACAGTTGCGCCGCTGCGCAGCGCCGCGCTTCTCGGTTGGTTGGTGGCTGGTTGATCCAACTGGGGAGCGCCAGTAAAGGTTTCGAACTACATACGTGAGATTGGCCAATCATTTAAATTTGAATATCCTGGACAGAACCAATCAGAATAGTTTACTAGTAGTATTTACAGCGATTCGTCCTGCTATTTTCGTCGTGATGTTCGATGAGCCCCCAGTAGTCCAAATCCAACTACTGTATCCACTTGACCTCCGTGTCAAACGGCCCAAAGGAGAACTAGCTGTAGATGCATGTCACACGCAGTTCATGAGACCATTTCGCGCAAGTTGAATGGACCAGTTTTCAAATTGTGCGAGGTTGCCCAATCGTGTCAAGCTGTCCTTCGAATTTCGTACGAAATTCACAGTGTTTCGTCGATGTGCACGTGAATCAAAATCGAAAATGTGGTATTTTTTCCTTTCTCCGCTGAATATATAAACCCAGTGGATATATAGTACTCGGGGCAGGTTGGAGGTACAAAGACCCACGCGCGACGCATGTGCGGGACCGTTTGACTTACCCAATCGAGGTGATACGACGACGGAGACGGCGGCGAGGAACGCGGCGCTGCCACACGACGTGCTTCACGTATATCAAATTGCACACGGCGAATGCTTGCATTATTACAGACCATCCGACGCCGCTACCTTCTAGACTGGGGTGGAAACTCAATGTGCTTTAGCCCAACAAGACGCGGTCTCCGTCCACGAACTTGTAGGGAGGGATTTCCATGTTGAGGGGAGCAGGACCCTTGCGAATGCGGCCGCTCAAGTCGTAGTGAGAACCGTGGCATGGGCAAAACCAACCGTCGTATTCGCCAGCGTTCGACGTCGGCACACAACCCAAATGCGTGCAAATACCCAAAATCACGAGCCACTTGGGATCTTGGACGCGCACTTCGTCCGATTCAGGGTGGCGCAATTGGCTCAGGTCGACACTGCGCGCCTTGGCGATTTCGGCTTCAGTGCGGTGCTTGATAAAGATGGGCTTGCCGCGCCACTTGACCTACAGGATGATCAGTGCACGCTGCGCTGTCGATATCCGTACCGTAATGGTAGAACCCGGTTCAATTGCGCTCAAGTTGAATTCGGCGGTGGACAACGCCAACACATCGGCCGATGCACTGATGGACCCGACGAATTTGATCACGGCAAGGCGGGCCGCAGTGGCATAAGCAATGCGGGAGCCCCCCAACACAAAGTACGTGAACGCACGCTTGGACGGGTCCCCAGCGCTGGCCTTGACTTCATCGTCAAAGTAATGATCTTTGGACGAATAGTCGTCCTTGGTCGCAGCGGGCGCCGAGAACGAGCGCGCTACAGATGGGTCGACCAAGACAATATGAGAGGGGTACATCAACAGAGCCCGGATGCTGTACCCGTGAAGGCAGGGACCAGGCTGCTCTTCGCCTTGGAACTCAGGATGCGGCGGGCCAGCATGGTCAAGTCACTGAAGTCACGAAATACACGAGTAGTCACCAAGGAAGTGGTGGAGAAAAGCAGGTGCCGACTCACTTGATTTAAGTATGCATCCGTCAAAACCTGTCGGGAATGCATAAATATATTCAATATGAGGGGTCATAATCACCGCAAAATCGAGTATGCGTTTCCGCAGAGTTCGTCGACAAGAAGTTGGGCGGAGAACGTGGGCACTGCTCTTGTTTGAATCGGGAAGGCCCATTGAGTGGGTTCGCAGCGCCCGATAAAGAGCTGACTCAAGGACATCGTGGCCATCTCAGCTGGTTGCTAGTTTGAAGGGGACAAAGTGTCCCCATCCACGCTGGCACTGTTTAGTTTGCACACAGTATCGCCTGCGCCAAATGCAATAGCATTAAACTGATTGCATGCAAGAGCGATAATGGGGTCGATTCAACACGGTCACATCGTCACTGTTTGTCGCCCAACACTTCGATTATCCCTGGCAGTTGTAATTTCTCTTGTGCGTATCAACCATCCGACACCACCTCAACGAATTCGCACGCGATAATGCCGTGCCTCCAATCGTAGCCACGGAGAAAAAATAGCATCCACCGACGCATGATGGCTTGCATCGATCTGGGCCCGAATCACCCGAGTGTGGGCAACTTTACTCGAATTTGAGCACGCTCTTGGGACGTATTTGGAGAACCTGAGTACGTTATGTTAAGTGCAGGTCACTCCACGTGGATTGGCTAAAAAGAATTCAAGATTGACTGGATTGGTCAATATTGTTCTCGGCATTTCATTGGCCGAATTCTGACTGGTGCGAACTGCGGGGGCGGGCGGTGCACGCCGACGGTACTTTTGGATTCCTCGTTCAAGCACCAAGCACTTCAACATGGGTCGTATGCATTCCGGCGGCAAGGGTATGAGCAAGTCTGCTCGCCCGTACAAGCGCACTCCTCCATCGTGGCTCAAGGTCACGGCGGAAGACGTCGAAGATCACGTGTGCAAGTTCGCCAAGAAGGGTTTGACGCCGTCGCAAATCGGTGTCATCTTGCGTGACTCGCACGGCATTGCCCAAGTCAAGTCTGTGACTGGTTCCAAGGTGTTGCGCATCTTGAAGAAGAACGGTACGTAGGAGACTCCCTTTCGAACCGCGATCCTGAACTAGGCCCCTTTGCTGCATTCCCACCAACTGCGTCAGCTCTACCAATTCCCTTGGTATTGCCTGACCCACACTCGAACGAGTTGTGAGGTGGGAATACACGAGGGTGCGTCATATAGGTTTGGCTCCTGAATTGCCGGAAGACTTGTACATGTTGATCAAGAAGGCCGTCGCTGTGCGCAAGCACTTGGACCGCAACCGTCAAGACAAGGACTCCAAGTTCCGCTTGATTTTGATCGAATCGCGCATTCACCGTCTCGCTCGTTACTACCGCCAAAACCGAAAGTTGAGCCCTAACTGGAAGTACGAATCCGCTACGGCCTCCACCTTGGTCGCATAAGTGCTTCCCTCGTGGTCGTCATGCATCGATTCTGTCGAGGATTTCTGGTGTCATTCAATAACCCCATGTAACAAGGACTTGAATGCACAAGCATCCCACTGTTCATTTTGTTTTCGACGATACCTCGAGTCCATCAACGCCACGTGACGTGGAGAGTTAGCAGAGGGCAGCGGAAGCCGTCCAATGGACCGGACGTCCATGACATCCTTGGTCCTTGGGCAGGTGGCGGTCTTGAAGCACGTGCAAATAACTTGCACTCCCTGCATGTGACACATGACCCATCTTTGGCTGGGAATCCTGTCAGTACATGTTGACATCCGCGCCCGAAGAGCGACATCGCGCATGCATGACGGGGACACCTGCAAGTCCACCTGCCCAGGTGAGAGGGATACTTGCAAACTGATATCCTGTACAAATGCATAATTTGAGATGACGGATAATCCATTTGCCATTGAAAACCTCCAGTATTGCATATTCAGTGTTGTTGGATCATGGGGAGTCGAGCCAAGGCCGCGCTGCTGCGCAGTGCGCTGTGCCTCACAACAGGTATCCCTAAAACTTTGGTGTATGCTTAGTCTAATGATGGATATTCTCTTTGTCTTCCCGACTTGAACCAGCGAAGCCACGTCCGAGCCCAACGCTGTTCATGTTCCCTGGGTTGACGTCGGCGCCGTTCCACAACCCGCGCGACTTTGACTGGACGCGAGCTCTCGAAGCAAACGTAGATGTGATTCGGTCAGAGTACTTGGCGCTCAAAGCGAACCAGAAGACATCCGACTACGACGTGCAAAGTGGGCACGAACACGCATTGCACAATGGACAATGGGACTGGTTCAGCTATATGACAAAAGGCAACAAAACCGGTAACGACGCATTCGAGGAGCATTGCCCCACCACAACGTCGCTTTTGAACTCGATTCCCGGTTTTATGACGTCCATTCCGTTTGCGTACACGTTCTTCTCGAGTCTCCAGCCAGGGAGTTCCATCAAAGCCCACTCCGCGCCATGCAACATTCGCCTGCGATGCCATTTTCCGCTCTTCGTTCCTCCTGGATGTGGGATCCGAGTTGGCGACCAAATCCGCACGTGGAAGGAAGGCGAATGCTTGATCTTGGACGGTATTCTTGTCTGCAATTGCCTTCTTCGGAGCCTCACGTTTGAAAGTAGATTCGTACGACCACGAAGTGTGGCATGACGGGAAGAAGGGCGAACGAGTTGTGCTGTTGTTTGACTTTTGGCATCCCGATCTCGTTCCCGAAGAGCGAGATGCCCTCATCGACGTAAGCACTACTGCGCACAGCACATTCTGAACTAGTTCGTGTGGTAGATGTTTGCGGAGGCAAAGACCAAGGGATGGCTGTCGGACAAGTAGCGCGGTGCCACAAATTTCCGGCACCGGTCGTGGGCTTAGCTGTATAACAAGGACATAGAAGTTGTAGTCGTCGAGAAGTTGTCTTGCGGTGGCAAACGCCATGTGAGGATAAGGGGGGTGCACTGATGGTAAACAGCATCCGATCGAGTTCGAAGCTTCGAAGGAATGCGCCGTGATCTAGCCTGCCAACGTTGTGGCGGCGCAATAAAACGACTGGAATCGAAGACAAGCACTCCAAACCCCCTTGACGCATGTGTGAGGTCGTCGACGCAGTAGAATGACAAGATATCAACGGCCCGAGCAAGTCTGGACAGGTGCAGCCAAGTCCGTCCTGGCCATCCGATCATAGGTATCCCACGCAACAACTGCGGTCGTGTTGCACTCTACAAAGCGACTGGGGCAGGCGTGCCGAATGAAGCGAAAACACTTCACCATCGAATGCGATCAGGTTCTGCGGTTGAAATTTCGCTGGCCAGAAAGTTTGTGTGGGGTGGCGCGCCGTTGATCAGGCTGGCGGGGGAGGCTCGTGCCGCTGGTGACGATGCTTACCTCTGCTTCCATCATGCTTGGTTTGGGTATGCCTCTCGGAGTTGCCATGTGGGCATCTCTGCCTCAAAGTTGTCCGGTGAGTCGGCGGCGGTGACGCTCATGCTATGGTTCGATTGCTCATGGACATGACACGAACCAGACTGTCATGCTTTGGCGCGGTACCAGCGTGATCTCTCCGTCCCTTCTCTGTCGTTCGGGTAGCTGAGCCTTCGGATTGTCGTTTCTCCGTTTTGCCGTCGCGATCACGTGGTCATGGCAGCTCGCCCTTCTGCTGACGATAGCCATCGTGTTGGCAAATGCCGACTTGGACAACAAAACGTGGCCCCCACCATTTTGGGCGTTGTTCATTTTTGCGTTGCCCGTGATTCCAGGGGTGCAAGTGGCGCTCAACGTCGATGGGATCGTGTTGAGGTCTTGGGTTGTTGTGGATAGCCATTGTGGCTTTAGCGAGGGGACGTCGTTGCCTCCATCACCGTGAACTGGTTCCATGACGCTCTTTTAAAGTGCCCCGACTCTGGCCTCGTCGCTCTGGTCATCATGTCCCCAATTTTCATTCGTTTGGCATGGCTGGAAGCGGTGATTTGGTTCTCACCCCTCTATATTTCGTTTGCTGTGGCTATGCGACCTGGACCTGTTTTGTCGGTGTGTCCTCGCTTCAATGTTGCTGCTACGGGAAGGCCATTTCGCTGGGGTTGTGTTGTTGCATGTGCTCGTGGTTCCAGGTCCGACGAGCTTGATGAAGTCGCGAGGTCATCTTCATGAGCTGGCGCTAGATGTGTAGCTAGCTAGCACCCCATGCATGTAAGTCGTGCATGGGCTCCTGACCACACCACAATGTTTCGGGAGACTTCGATTGACAAATCCCAAATCTACGAACGCCAACGGCCGTCCCAGCGGTGCATCGCATCCATGTCCACAGCGATCGCGTGTTGTGATAGAACTGGTTGTGCTGGCGCGCGGGACTGTCGCGACCGCTCCCGATAACGTTTGCCCAATCGGGATTCCTATCCGGATGTGAAGCATGCGTTATCCGTATATGATACAGCTAAAGAGAATTGGTTGCGGCGTCATGACGTCGCCTGCGCTGGCGGATGCATTGGCCGTCGAGCACGTGTTTGGCAACTTCCACGACTATTACGACTTCAACCCAGAAAGTGAACGGCTGCGGTTCCTCACGGCGGACCTTCGACGAGCGTTGCGACGGCTCTTTCAAACGCAGCCACATGGGTATGGCACGCTGCTCGACGTCGGATGCAACGAAGGCGAGTTCTCCGCCGTGGATCCCCGCATGTTTTCAATTTCAGTGTTAGGCAAACTCACCATGGGCTTGTACGACGCCCTCATGAGCAACACTGTAACCTCGTCGTCGACGCACGCTGCGGCGGTGTTTTCGACAGACTGCCTGGCCCAGCTCAATGATTTCCTCCAGCCACATCGACTTCGACCCGAGTATATTACTGTTGCGGACACTGGCACGGCCCACCGGCCGCAGTTCGTTCTCCACGTGTACATCTACGGTGCATTCTTTGGCGAAGGCAGAGGAGTGTCCAAGAAAGTTGCCCGCGCGAGAGCGGCCACCGCAGCGTTGAGACACTGGTGCCACATTCACCAGCTTCCTGAGGCGACATCTCACGCAGATTTTGCAAGGCCAGACACAGCAGCCGTTTCCGAAGACAACACGCCTGATGGCTTTGATTTACGCGTCGTAGGCATCGACATCGACGGGACATTGATTGATCGCGCGGCGACTCGGTGGACAAACCATCCACATGTCTCTTTCCAAACGGGCGACATCATGAATCCAAACGAGGCGGCGGACCTGTGTGCTTCAATCCTGTGCCCGTTGCCGCCACCCGAGTTGCCGCCGCGTCGATTTGACGTTGTCACGTGCTTTAGCATCACGATGTGGATTCATCTGAACCACGGTGATGTCGGGTTGAGCTCGTTCTTGGATACGGTCAGCAACTTGGCGTCACATTTAATCGTGGAGCCGCAGCCGTGGAAATGCTATCGCACGGCCATGTCACGGCTGAAGCGCAAGGGCATCAAGAACCCGTTCGCGTTTCAAGCGCTCAAATACACCCACAACAACGTCGCGATGTTTATCGACGCCAAATTAACCGAGTCGTTTGGGTACAAGAAGATGCTTGGCAAGACCAATTGGAGCCGGCCCGTGTGGCTCTATAGCCGAGATCCTCTGCCTGGCATCGTGTACGACACCACGTTAAATGTAGCCACACCAAAGTCTTGAATCGACCCCCTCGTTCGACTATTGCTTGGCTTTTGTTGATGGTGAATGCGCTGCTGCTTCCTCGGACGTATTCCTATCGTTATTTCAAGTATCGAATGGAGCTTTCGACCACGAGTCTACCCAACGTGTGTGGAAGTCAAATCGATAACTTCGCCAACACCATTGGGTTCGATACAGCTTCCTGGGCCTTCCATCGTCATGCTCTGCTTTGACGTTCGATCTCGTTTCGAATGTGTAGTCACCGAGCCACTGTGTCGTGGCGTCTCTCGGACTTGGACCATTCCAGCATGACCATTATAACGACACTTCAAGAGTTGTGGAAAGGACGCGTGTACTTGCAGTAATTGCTCCATCCATGGCGTGCGGTTGCCGTCTAGAGCTCAGGGTGCTTTCGTTGGGTCAAAACCCATGATGCATGGTTGCGCACAATCGAGTGCGTCGGTTGACGTGTCTTTCTCCGCTCACGGTTGCACTAGAGCTGCATGAGTGGAGCCCCATCGTAATCGTCGCCAAGATCGATTCACTCGTGATGACTTGAGCAGGGACCGCGTTTTGGTGTACTTTACAAGACATTTTAAGTCGAAGCGGTCGCGGCTGTACCAGTTGTCGTGATCGACGACAACGAGTGCTCGGACCGGAGTTGGTTGGCAAACTGCGTCAGCGCTTGCTTCATTTCGGGCTCGCTGGCAAACACGGTCGCCGTGACGAACGCGAGCTTCTCAACGACATTGGCCGACATGACAGTCACGTGCAGCACGAGAAGAGCTAGGAGTCCCCACACGTATGCACGGTACCACCAAGGAGTGCCGGGAACTACAATCACGACGGCCGCGCTGAAGAGCAACGCAAAGTAGAGCGCGTTGAGGGCGAGTCCAAACTTGGCAAGGCCTCGCAAGACACCTCGTGACAGGGCAGGTCGCACCGTTCGAGCGCTGAGAACGAACGCTGGAGATGGGTTCGGAGCGCTGGTGGACTGTCTTCTGGCACGCCACCAATTTACGAGCAACGACCACGCGGAGTCATTTTCGCGGTCGGCGAGGGCATCGGCAAGTCCTTGCATGCGCTGGACTGCATCTGCCGCAGGCTCAGTGGACTCGTCTGTTTCTTTCACAGAGATCGCTTGCAGCGTCGTGAGGAGAGTCTTGACATGCATGCTGTTGACGCAGTCGCTGGCGTGGTCGACGATCTTGTGTTGCCAACTGTTCATGTACAGGTAGAGAACGATCGAGAGGAGCCATGAGAGGACGACTAGGACGGTGAGCACACCAAGACGATACTGCAGCGCCAGGGGACGGTACACGTTGGCGGCGCGGAGCATGACTTCGCGGCTCATTTCTGGGCTTTCGTCGGGGAATTCAATCGCGAGAAAGACCGCGTGGCTCACGGAAAAGTAACACGCGTACGTGCACACAAGACAGATAAATGTGGTAACGTCTAGACGTAGCATCTCAAGCACAAGATTGTCTTGGACGAGTTGGAGGTAGTGCGAGTACAAAAACCGGCGCGGCAGCCGGTGCAGTTGCAAGAAGAATCGCCTGACGATGTGGAACTTGACACCGCGACGGAACACATGTGGCACGTGCTCATCAGCCGTCACGGTGCCGGCCGAAGTCGCGACGTGGAGAAATTCCTTGGAGCTTCGTGTGGCCATCGCGTGGACTTCTTGGATGCGCCGATCGAGGCGGTAAAACAAGAGAATGGCTTGAAGGATTCCAGACCAAAGAAAGTACACAACGATGTCCCCCGCGAGCTTGAAGCAGTGGTCGTACAGGTCGCCCGGCGCCACAAGTTGCCATGTTTCCAACTGGAGCAGGACGAACAGTAGCAAGCCTCCCGTCATGAGATCTGTACAAGCGAACACGCTGTGAGACCACGAATGAAGAGGGTGCCGCAATGTACCTCGGCACGAAATGTGAAACATTTGGACAAACTTGGGTTGGGTAAGGCAATGCTTTTCGACCAGCTGAAGACACAGCTCGATGCCCATGCATATCATGGCGCACCCGATGAGGAAGGTAATCACCCATGACACGCTCAGCTGTGGGTCCAGCGCAATGTGCAACATTGTCGTGTTGCGAAACTGAACGAACGCGGCCGCGTTCGCTGACATGTTGGACGGGGACTTGTATCCGATGTGCACTTGCGCCATCAGTTCGTTCACAGCGCTTTGGAACGTGCGAGACAGTTCTGTCGCGTTTGCCTCGCCCAACGTGGCAGGAAATGCGTCGCCGTCGTACAAGATCGTGTCAACGTTGCAAGGCACGTGGTGCCGCATGACAACATTCATGTTGACGAAGAAATCGACACACGCGACCGAACGATTGAACGCGTGCACTTGACCTCGCACGAGCGGCTGTTCGTATAAGATGGCAAACACGCTCAGTCGCGACGATTGCATGCATTGCCTCGTGGTGGGGTACGCATCAAGTTGCTTGGCAATGCGAATCGTATCGCAGTCGGGTATTCCCGACGCGCGCGCCTTTCCTCGATGGATGGTCGCGCCGTAACAGTCGGGAAAGAGCAGACGACAAGCATCCCCCGATTCGTCGTCCTTGGGACTCTGACAAATCTTGGGAAGCATCTTGCACGTGTACGACATGTCGTCTTCGATACCTGGCGGACCAGTGCTCATCGGTGGAGCCGATGTCTGCTGCTTCTGCCTTCGCGTACGGTTGTGGTACGACGTGAACAGCGGTTGTGCGTTTGAAGGAAGTGGTGTATTCGTTCGTGACGGTGCAGACACTGTTGTTGTGACACTCTGATTCACACGGACATGTACATCCGCTTTGTGCGCTAACGATATCCCCGCCGTGGCAATCGCGGCCGCAAGGAGTCTCGTCATGTTCATGCTTCGTCGACCGTATCAAATGGCGCGTTCGGTATTACAACCCAGCGCATGTTTATTTGAAATGCTTTAGTTTGAAAAGACGAGCTCAAATGTTACCATTTGTATACGGACTTTACTTAGTTCATTATTTTTAAAATAGATTTAAAATAGATTAGAAACATGTGAGAGACGTGAGTTCCCGGATAATCAGCAAAGATATCCGGATATGCCGCATGATCCGGTGGTTTGTCCCGGTGCCGACCTCGTAGACACCATGGTCGACATGAAAGTGGCGTCGTTTGTGTTGCTGGTGCTCCAGAACACGCTCGGCACGATCGTGATCAAGTACTCGCGGGCTACCAAGTACCATGGTACGACGACGGTGCTGTTGTATGAGTTGCTGAAGCTCGTACTTTGTCTGAGTGTGGTTGTCGTTCAGAAGCACGGCAACTTTCGCCATGCCATCCAAAGCCTTCGCCTCGAGGTCATTGCGGACACGCAAGGGTACTTGAAAATGGTGCTCTTGGCCGCACTCTACAGTTTTCAGAACAATGTGCAGTTGCTCGCGCTTGACCACGTCAGTGCTGCCACGTACGCGATTGTTTACCAGCTAAAGATCGTCACGACGGCTGTCTTCATGGTGGTTTTTCTCAAGCGATCATTCCACGTCGTGCAATGGGTCGCAATGGTCGTGCTCATGATGGGAGTTGTCGTGTGTTCCGTCGGCAACAAGAAAGGCGCGACTTCGTCAGACAAAACGTCGTCCTCTATGGGCATCTTTCTGGTCATCGGACTTGCCGTCAATTCTGGTGTGGCCGCGGCGTATTTTGAGAAGGTGCTCAAGACGCACAAACCCGCCATCTCGTCCGACGTCATCCTTCGCGACCACACGCCCATCGACCCCATGTGGAAAACGAACATTCAACTCGCAAGCGTGTCGGTGATCGTGGCGTTTGCGGGAGTCGTTCACACTGCCACGAATGTTCCCAGCTTTGTCTTTTTCGACGGATATACCAAATTTACATGGGGCGTCGTGTGGCTGCAAGCGTGTGGCGGTCTCGTTGTGTCTGCCGTCGTTCGGTACTCGGACAACGTCGTCAAGAACTTTGGCACGGCGTTTTCACTCGTCTTAGGCTGCGTGCTGTCCAACTACCTGTTTGACGATCAACTATCGCCGCTGTTTTTTGTGGGTGTCGCAATGGTGGTGCTGTCTGTGTATGTGTACGGCGATGC